TCTCGTTTTTCATTGTTTCTTTTATTATTGAATATATTTATATTCTATTTTAGATATATTATCTATTAATTGATCTAATTTGTCGTTATCAGTTTTTGTGATATTGAGTTTTTTATATTCCGGATATAATTTCTTTAATGTACTTTTTATTTTTCTTAACTTTCTACTAGTATGTTTCTTCCTTAGTTTCTCGTTATCCATAGCTCTGATGGTAGTGTTAAATTCCACAGAATCCCAACAAATTGATATTATGAACTACAAAAGTTGTATCCAATTCATAGATGAAAACAAAATGAAGATAAGATTACAAAACTTGATGACGTTGTTCATTAAGCCACTGTCTGTTCAAGATTTAAAAAAATGGAAAAATAACACTTTCAATTAAGTTTACAAGGATTTGGCATATCTTCCAAAATGGATGTTGCTTTAGTTTATAGCACAATAATTAGGAAAACTTGACGGGATTACGTGGTGCTAAATCTGAATAGAAATTGTCCATTTTTAACTTGAAAAAAATGATGAACATTTCACTCGTGGCTAAATCAATGGATTGTTTTGAATATCTTTTGAGAGATTTTTATAAATTTCTGAAAATAATTGAAAAAAAACGTTATCTATCAAAGAGAGAGAAGGAAAGGAGTGATTTGGAGTAAAAACCTAGAAAGAGGTGAAAGTGGGGAATGAGTTTTTTTTTTAACTTTTTCACTAAGTAGTGGGGTAAAAATGAGTCCAATGTGGGATTGATTTGAGTAATAGAAGGAAAGAAAATTAAGTATATTAGAATACAATTATATTTGCTAAAATATTGACATATTGACATTTTCAATAATTATTTTAAAGTGTAGATATATTTTATTTAATAATTATGTTAGAGATTTTGACTTTTTGCTAATTTTCCCTTGAAATATATCCTTGTACTATCGAAACAATTGGAAGACTCATCCTCTCATCTATTTTTGTTAAGAATTTAGTGATACCAATAAAAAAAATATTTTATTCCTTATTTGATTTTGATGCCTTAGTCACTATGAGTAAAACAAAGTTATTCAAAAAGAAAAAAATAATGTCTTTTATAAGATATATGACTTAACAAATGGATCTTTCATTCTCAAACTTTTAATTTTGTGAACTATTAATTTTTATATTTTTGCATTATCAAGTAAATTAACTTATAATAATAGATACATATTGGGATATTTACATGGTGTGCTTAGACGATAAAAGTAATACGGAAAAATGTTGTTTTTAAAAGCATTAAGCTCCATATTTATTTAGAGTTTATATATATATATATACACACCATACAGCCCACTTTTTAAAATATATAAACGCTTGAACTTTTGTAAAATTAAATGTGAATATTTGTCTAAGTACGTAAGAATAATTTTTTTTTAATAAATCCTCACAACAAATCTAATATAATAATCTAAAAAATGAGTGATAGCTTTCTATGTAGCATTGACATTCAGAAAAGTGACTATTCATTCAAAGCAAAGAAAAATATTTTATATAATAAAAAAAGATAGAAAAGAGAACCACTTACATATATTTATTCAATTTTGACAGTTTTTTTTTCGTTGGTGATGTCAGTTCCTTAACAGAAATAAATGGAAGGATGAATCTTTCCATTATTCAGATAATGAATAGATATTTTTTGTTCACTCAAGTGATATAATGATGTATTTTAGATTTGAATCATAGTATACGGATGATTTTAGCCAAAAATATCAAATTTGATAAGTACTAATGTAAAGTATAAAAATGACTCACGTTAAATTAGTATTTTATGATAAAAATAAAAAGTTTAGAAATAAAATATTCAAGAGAAACATTAAAATCTCAAGAAAAATTACATGATTATTTTGTATAAGCATTAATTTGTCTTTATAAATCACAGAAACTAATAATATTCAAAAATTCAAGGTGAAACTAAGCAAATGTCATAAATGTGGTTATCTAAATACAAATAGAAGATGAGGAAGAGTAACATATGATAAGGAAATGAGTTATTCGATATTAAATTCTAATATAGAAATTTTGACCAAACTAATCCATTATTTAAAGCAATTCACCAAAATAATACGTTTTTTAATTTTTTTACAAAAGTAGTATAAACGTATTTTCTCAATAACGTTTTTAGGACCAACTATGTGGAATACTGTAGTTGACGGCGTTAAGTATAGAAACGTTACTCATAGTCACGTTTTTTAGCCTACTACGTTACTCTGAGTAACGTTTTATGCTTTAAAAGTACTCTAGGCCCACATCTCAAATACAATGTGTCGTTTTTATCCTTCTTTTTTTTTAAAGAATATTTTAGTGGCCTGTTGGGCCTTTTATTGAATTTTCTGTAACCAAAGTCTACACAAGGCCCTTGGCCCAAAATAAAAACACCAAAACAAATAATATGTGCACATATTCTAATATACCCGACCCGGCTAATATCTGATTTATCTGGATTAGAGCAATTTCCTCTTTTGGAAGGTGAATCGATCTTCCTTCTCCGCTGTTGCCTTGTCGGAAACTTGGTTCCTCATGCTTCCTCTTGCTGCGTGTGTACCGATCAATGATACCAGTGCTGGTAATCTTTCCTCTAGCTTGATTTCTTCATTCCCTCCTTCTGACATTCTTCTTCTTCCAGCTGTTCTGAGCGTACCTCTCCAACGCCATGGCAACGAAGCTGATTACCGGTGAATCTTAGCAGCTGGAATCTGCACCTAAGTTGAGTGATCGAAACCCCCCCCCCCCTCCTTATCGTTATTTAATCTCATTTTGGGGTATCCTTGCTGTCGTGTTGTACGCTTTTGTGACCCTTGCTTTCCTCAACATTTCTGTAATCTCCCCTGTTTATTATTTCTTATGTATCTGGATTGTTGTGATAGCCCCCACTACAAGAGAACAACTTATTAGCGAGAGACCAAATCCCTAGCTAACTTACAAAATTCCTAGCTAACATCATTTTTGCTAGGAAAATGACCGTAGCAACCTTTTGTAGCTAATTCTTTCTTAGCTAAAAATTTGCTAGGAAAACGTTGTTAGCCTAGCTAGTTTAGCTAGAATATTTTGCTAGGCAACATATCCAATCAAATAATAGCTAGGATTATTCCTAGGTAACTTCATAGCAAACAACTCTCTTTTGCTTGGATATTTTCCAAGCTAATATGTAAACATCCTAGCTTTTTCTTGGCTTGATTTCTTATGTTTTCATGACCCCTAGCTTACTTTTAGAATCAACAAAAATTACTTAAATTTCACATAACATGAAATAAATAATTGAATCCATTCAAATTACACTAATTCATTAACTATACTTATGAATTTATTTGCACAACCATTTCAAAATGGTATGTCCTTTAGAAATGAATAACATGTATACAAATAAAATCGAACATATTTGAAGTATAAAAACATAAAAATTAGCTCCATGTCAACTTAAGCTAATAAAACATCAACATAAGCTCCTTGTTGGCATTGTCCTCCAACTTAACGTCTCCAACTCCATTTGTTGACATGTTTCTTTCAATTTAAGTTCTCCAGCTTCACTTGTTGGCATGTTTCTTTAAATTTAATGTCTCCTTATATTACTTCAATATCATATTCATCCCTTGGTGTAGAAATCTCATCAACCTTCTCCTTAATAAGTTTTTATAAATGTGTTCTGAAAAAAAAAGAGATAATTAGTCATTTTGAATAATAAAACAAATCAAATAACAAGTAAAGAGACATAAATAATTTGAACTAAGCAAATTGGTCTAATGAAGTATACATTAGATTATTTTACAGATTTTAACAAAAGAAGAATGACACATTATTAGTAAAAGGAATCAAACACCAAAAGATTAAAGATACCAACAAGTATACTACTAATTTTTTTATTGATTTAGTGGATGTTATATGATTTTGTCTATTTAATAATTTTAATTTCATATGTGTTTCTTTTATTTTATAGGTAGTTTTATGGCTGGTACTATTGCATACCAACTAGACCCCGGTCCACTTGAATCATCTGTATTAACGGAACAAATTACCCATAGATCACGAGATATATGGGATGGAAGTGTTAATATGATTCTAAATACGAGGAGGTGTGATGGTAAATTTTGGGACCTCGTAAAGAAATATCCCATCCCTCCTCGAGTCTTAGAAGTGATTCAATTATTTGGATTGTACGGTATTTATAGGTCTCATCAGCCTATGATTGATCGTAGTTTGATCACTTCCCTAGTCGAGAGATGGTGTCCTGAGACGCATACATTTCACTTTAGGACGGGTGAGGCAACTATCACCTTGCAAGATGTAGAGGTGTTGTATGTCTTACCTGTGAATGGTCATCCTGTACTTGGTAATGAGTTGATTAGGACTATAGGAGATTGGCAAAATATTTGCCAAAGATTATTAGGTTTTACTCCATGTCCTCAAGACTTCAACCATAATAGCCTTAAGGTCTCTGCACTTAATGCGCACATGCTAAGGCAACCACAGTTGACGGACATGGAAACACAATATATGGTTAATCAAAAGGCTAGGTGTTACATGTTTTGGATGATTGCTGGTATGATGATGGCAGATACATCTGGTAGTTTTTTAAAGCTTATGTATCTTCCCATGCTCGAGGACGTCAATGCAATTGGGTCTTATAGTTGTGGTAGTGCGACCTTAGTGTGCTTGTATCGTTTTCTCTGTTAGTCCTCACAAAGTAACAAAAACGAGATAGCTGGATTTCTACCACTACTTTAGGTATACTCAATAACTAAATAAATTATTTATTAATATTTCTTGTACTTTAATTACCTAAATTATATATTATGTTTAGATTTGGGCATGTGAGAGAGTTATTGTCTTTAGACCACAGGTAATAGCACAAAGAGACATCAGAAATATTTTTCCAGCTGGTTTACCTAAGGGTCCACATGCTACTAGATGGTTTGCACGTTTTAGTTGGACCGACACTACTAAACATGTGTTGAAAGTGTTTAGGGATGCACTTGATTCCATGACGGAGGATCAGGTACAATATAATATCAATTTTGTTTTAATTTTCATGTATATTGTGGTTTAAACTCATTTATATTTTTTCTTTTCATGTAGTTTATTTGGGAACCATATTCTGATGAGTTAATTGAGAGTCTTCCTGACTATTGTCGCATTGGACGAGATATATGGCGTGTTAGAGCTCCAATTTTTTGTTGGGATGTCGTCGAGGTTCACTTGCCTGACCGAGTTATGAGGCAATTTGGGTTGAAACAGATGATACCAACTCCATTTTTATTTGATTCGACACATTTTCACCATGATCGTCGGGGAAGACCAAATACAAATTGGGAGTTGGAGCATGCACAATGGTTGCCTTTTTGGAACCAACGACTTCAATATATTTGTGAAGCACCAATCAATCGTGAACCACTTCGATATGACGACCCCTACCTTATTTGGTTTAGACGCATTACTCGTCTTGTTATTGATAATCCTACTATGCGTCCTCAACAACAACAAGGTTATGTGCCAAATTAAACGGCATACGAAACAATGGTAAGTATTAGCTTCTGTTCTTTTACTTGTTTGAACTGATTATAAGTTGTTTATTTGTGTACTAAGAAACTTATTATGATCCAACGATAGCCTATTAAGCTTTATATGTCATTAGCATTTGTCTGCCAACTCCCAGAATAAGCATTTTCGTGCAACAGAAAGACTTAGAATCTAAGTAAATATGTGTGAGTAGTTTGACAATTAATATTTTAAGTCTTTGTCCAGAATTAAATGTAATGCACCAACCCATTGTAATGTTACTGATATGCTGAAAATAATTATCATATATATCCTGCTACTTAGGTTAGATATACATTACAATAGCTACATTATAGTGCACTATACAATAGCTAATTAAAAGGAAACAATTCTTAACAGAGAGACTAGTTGTGTGCAGTAGTTTAGCTACATTATATTTAATGAATTATGTATAATATGCAGGTGCGTTATATTCATTCAATGGTTGATAAAGCAAAATCACTCGGTGATCAACCATCAATGGATGATTTTTACATGTTTCGTGCAATGGTGCGGAATGAAGGAGAAAGATGTTTGACATATGTGCACGAGGCTGATAGGATTAATGTACAAGTCGATTATAGAAGAGATGACGTACAAGTTGACCATTTACATCACCCTATTCGTAGGCGAGGAAAAGGTGGTGTTGCTGGTAGGACGACACGTGCTGCTGAGAGAGGACGCGTTCCTGTTAAAATGGACGAAGCAACCTTAGAAGATTATCAAGCAACTAGTGATATTGGCTCCACTTCAAGGAGTCACACTCAGGAATTCACTCCTGTGGCATCAGGTATGACATATCAACCAACAAATTCTGAGATTGTCCCATACATGATGCCACAAATTTCAAGGGATCCAAGTCTTTCGTCACTTGAGAATGTCTTTGGTAATTATCGGCCTCAACATTTTGAGAGTGCCCCAAATTTTACCTCATCGCCTGTGCCAATGTCCATGGAGATCCTTGATGCCATGACTAATTTAGAGGACTACAACATCGAGATAGAATGTAATGAGTTGGATGATTCCAACAATGAAGTGGATGGTAATGATCCTGAGAATGCAAGTAGAGGTGGTGAACCATTAGCGAAGAAGAAACGTACAATTTTTCTTAAGTTTTGTGGCATTGGTACAATTTTTTTTAAGCTTTGGTGAACCATTATTTCTTAACATTACTGCTTCTTTTTTGGTTGAATAATTAAAAATTATTTTTACTTGCCAGGGAGTCATCAACTTAACCAACACGGCATAAAGAAAACAACAAAAGGTAACAAAGACATTGTAGCAACAAAAAGAAGAAGCAAAGAATAAATCACAAGGAAAAAACTTCCAAGTAAGCTTACTATTCTGTGAGACTGCAAAAACAACCTATATTTTTAGTTGATTTTTCTTCTTAAAGCTAGGTTTTCCAGGTAGTCTTTTAGCTTTTAACTAGTATCTTTTATTTTTCATTTACTTTATATGGTGGCATGAGATAAATTTAAATGGAGAAACATGGTCAGTGATGATTCATATACCCACACGTAATTGGTATTGTTGATTGGAGCTGCTGTCTGCATTTGGTTGTGTCCTGCATCTGGTATGACTTATTATTTGGTTGCTAGTCCTTTTCTAAATCTCTGTTTTATTTGGTTTTAGAGTCTCATGCAAGTGATTGGTAGAACCGGTGGATGTTGAAAGGGTCTTTTTAGTCATTTGGTGATTTTCTTTTTGTTGGTCAGATCCACTGTTTCTCATTGATTTTTTGATATTGGGAAACAAAATAAAATTGTGTATGAAATGAGTTTTATGTTGATTCTTCTTCATGTGACATAGTAAGCAATTAAAGATTGTTGCTTTCTTTTGTTTTGTATTGCCTTATAGGGATTATGCTTTCAAAACCAGGAGAAATGACCTCAAGACCAATTGGCCATCAAAATCAGGAGAAAAAAATTGCAGCTTTGTTTGAGAGCTACAAAGTGGTCGTTGGACGTATATTGTAATTACGTTGTGATTCCTTCAAATTGTAGTTCTTTTGCATTTTGTGTCAATATCTCGGTTATAATAAAGGAATTCACTGTGATTATTGATTCTTATGTCTTGAAAAGTAACATGTTTTATTACTCACTGGAGACTTTTGTAATTTTGTAATTTTCTATTTTGTCACCAGGAGTATGAATACATGGATGTTTCCAATTATTTAAGTTAAGTTTACCTCCATGTCACTAAATTTTATTGTATAGTAACCATTGGGAGGTCTCATTATTTATCAATTCATTACATAGATAGATTGTTGTGTACACCAATCTTGTATTAGCTGTGTAATTGACAAAAAAAAAAGAGCATAAGGCTTTATTATTAACACCAGAAAGTTCACAAGAGGAGAAAAATTTATGACATTTAAAGTTATTGCTAATTAGACATCCTTGAGTTACATTACAGTAGATAATTTATGACATCTGGAAATTTGGAAATCTGGAAATCTGAAAATCTGGAAAATCTGGAAATTAACACTAATAATTTTTCCTCTATTAGCAATCTGGAAATTTGGAAATTAACCCTAGTTACACTACAGTAGATAACTAAAAGGAAATTAACACAATTAGACATCGACCTACAACTATTTACTTAAATTTAATTACGATTGGGACATCGACGCCTATCATGTCCAGTCTGCCTACATAATCCACAAGCTCGCCCATACACTGTAGAACCATGATCCATTTCATTAGGTATTCTAGTTGTCCTTGGCCGATTAGGACGACGATAGAATTCATTACTTCTCATTGTAAAAACTTGGAGATGGCCAATATGCCTCATGACCAATTGGTGAGAATAGACCAGAATATGTTGCAACATAATTCTCTATTGTGAAATGCTCGCTACAAAATTCTAGCTAGCCCCCCCATTCTATCAGTACCTTCATGACATGTGAACATGGGAAATGCAAATTAACCCATTTTTCACAATCACATTTTCCTTCATTCAGTGTAACACAATGAGGATTACCACCAGTACCATCAACCTGTATAGATCTAACCTCGTATACCCCTGTGGGTATATTCCAATAAAAAACAAAGTGCCTTTTTGAACTTTCATAATTTTTCTCCCACTTTATTTTGAACCTTCCAGTCCATAATTCATTTTGTTCTGCAAGTTGGTGCGCTATTTGAGACCTACGGGTATACCGTTCAATAGTTTGCTCCAATGAAAGTATAACCATAGCAGTGACAGGCAAACCTCGTGCTTTTTCAACACTCCATTGAACGACTCTGAAAGATTTGTTGTCAACACTCCCCATCTTTTTCCACCATCATGGCTAATGGTCCATTTGTCCAAGGGAATTTCCATGAGGTATTCATGTGCTTCGACATTTTCTTCTCTAATTTGCCACATCAAGGATTCAAACTTCCTTACTTGATGGGCTGAAGCAGCCCTCCACATCAATCTGCTGAGGTCTTTGTTTGGAAATTTAGATTGAAAGTTGCTCTTTAGATGCCTTATGCAAAATCGATGGAAGGTTCGAGGCTCTTGAAATCGCCGCAACTCCTGCAAACTAGTCAAGATTCCTTTTGCCCTATCGGATATAACGCATACATCTTGTCTACTTTTTATCACATGTGCACTCAAATTTCTAAAAAACCACTTCCATGCCTCTTTTGACTCTTTGTCTACAATAGCAAACGCTAAAGGAAAAATGTTATCATTTCCATCAATTCCAACAGAAATTAATAATTTGATCTCATACTTTCCATAAATATGAGTTCCATCTACTGAAATAACAGGGCGACATGTTTGGAATTCATCTATGCATGGCTTGAAAGCCCAAAATACAAATTTAAAAGTTTTTACCTGATGAACTCATAGACTCTTCGTGTTTTTATTCCACAACTATTCCATGGTTAAAGTGTTGAAAAGCTGTAAAAAATTTAGGTAGGTCACTAAATGATTTCTCAAAGTCATCATACACCAATTCAAATGCGCGTTGACGTCCAAGCCACGCTTTTCTGTATGTCACTTGATGACCAAATTTTTCATGAACCTTTGAAATGACATCTACCATCAAGTACTTAGGATTTTTTCTAATTTGATTTAGAAATAGTGATGCAATCAAATTGGTATTTAGATTGGCGTGACCACTAGAAAGCCCTTCAGTCTCACATCTATGATTTTCAACATATTTTCCTATCTTTCAAAGGTAATCTCCAACTTTTCGACCTCGAAGAAACCACAAACAACGCAATAAACTATAAAACTTACATCTCACAACCCATAGACTCTTGGTAGATGTTACCACCTTGAACTCCTTATTTTTGTGCAAACTCCAAATCGTTACCGCCCGTTTCAACTTTTCTTTACTACTAAAAAACATACCTTTTTTCAAATCCTTTTTTGCTTCCTCAGACCAAACTGAACAATATTCCATCTCAGATTCACATGTCGACATGAAAATGTCTTCCTCATTCTCTAATGTCCTGAAATAGGGTATGTCATGATTTTGTATTTCAGACACGCCTTGTTTATGATTATGAAGATTTACACCATTCTGAGAAAAATCTCTAATATCATCGATATCTTCATCAGGTTCACTTTCATCACCATCTTTTGGAGGTTCATCTTCTCCGAACTTTCATCACTAATTTCAGGATTTACATCATTATATAGATCAACGTTGGTCTCATTATCTACTAGTAAAAAAAAATATTAGTTAAATTCTAGCAAAATTATAAATATAGAAGCTTGTTTTAAAAGCGATAATTTATACTCTAAAAGGTTATTTCTTCTATCAATAAGAGATAATTTATGTATACTGACAATAAAATTATCTTATTAAATTGTTACACTAAAATTTAGTAAAATATAGATTTGTGTTTTACCTGGCCTCATAATCTCTGTGACTATTATCAATATGCATTTGACTACTTGACCCTTCACCAAATGATCGATGACCATGCATCGACAATTATTGGAATGGTGGTTGAACAATTGGTTCTACAAAATGAGGTTGATTGGCCGTGGTAAAGCCATAATTTTGAGCCAATAAATTCATGTGATAACTATGATGACCACTTACTTGACATACAACATTTTGATCTGTTGATTTGGACTTTACATACATCTCCAAAACATTTATATCAATCTTATCCGTAAATTTTTGAGGTATGAAAAGGAATTGTAACAAAGATTGGTCATTCTCAATTTTAAACTCAATGAACCTTGTATTGTTACCTTGAATTGAACATGGATATTTTCCAGAAATATCCATATGAATATTTTCACTATTTGTTCCCATTTTCTCATGCAACAATCCAACCAATTCAACATAGTTAGTTGAGGTAGACATGCTAATAATCATTCTAGCACATTCAGTATACCTAAATCCGTTCATATCCGTAATTATTCGCCACCCAATACAAAGCAACCATCACATTATGTTCAAAGCTCGTCATCTTTATCCTACACATAAAATAAGATATTTTTTAAAATAATATTAATAAATTAGAAAAGTAATTTTAAAGCTATAGTAAGAACTTAACATAATATGATAAATTTGACTTATTTAATTCATACCTAATGAAGCTTTGTGAATATTATTTTAACAATGGGCAACACAAGTGAAAGTTTTGATGAATATTGTTGGAATATGCAAAACATTCCTTACAACAACATTTATTTTATAATCACATGTGGTCAGTTTGAAAAATGGGAGAATATGACTTTAACAGAGTGTTGTAACTAACAGTCACGTTTTTAAGGTAAAACGTTACTATGAGTAGCGTTTTATAGCTAAATTTGTAGGAGTCAAAGGCCCGTGATTGGATTCTTTAGAAACGTTACTATGAGTAACGTTTTAAATTTGCAGGATTTGATTCTGAATTTACAAGATTGGATGTGATTGGATTCTCAATAAACGTTATTGTGAGTAACGTTTTACACCTAAAACGTTACTCACAGTAACGTTTATTCATTTAACGTCATCAGATCTGTCAACTTTTTGTCCGTTGAATTTTTAAAATAAAAATAACCTAAAACGTTACTATGAAGTACGTTTATACTACTTTTGTAAAAAACTTAAAAAACGTATTAGTTAGGTGAATTGGTTTTAAAAATAGCTTACTTTGGTAAAAAATTCTCTAATATAGGTACTATTATTATATTATATATTATTTAAGAACGTCTTATGTAGTTCAAATAAGAAAAAAAATTAATAATCAAAATCTTAGTTAATTTCAAATTCGTAGATATTAATGAAATAATTAAATTATAATCAATTTATCCCTTATAGAAATAAATTTTAAAAGGTGAAGTAGGCTAATGATATTTTAGTTAAGGACCAACAAGGGTTGTGGTGGAGTGATAAGTATTTCTTCATCCTTAACCAAGAGGTCTCGGGTTCGAGTCTCCTTGGGTACGGAGTCGCCTTTTGTTATGGAGCGTTTTACCCCCCAATGTGGGACTTTCCAGCGCGAATTCAGATTTAGTTGGGCTACAATGTGGGTACCGGATACCGGGTGGAAAAAAAAAAGAAGATATTTTAGTTAAGGGTTCGTGATTTTAATCATGTGCATCAGAATTATAATAGTTGCATTTATTTAATTTAGGTAGAAAGGTTAATAGTTGCATTTTAATGGATGGTGTTATGCAAGACTTAATTAAAGATTTAAAACATTAAGTTAGTGGTTTGTGTAGCCATGTTTAACTTAGCATTTAATTAGTAGTTGCATTTCTGGATCAAATTAAAGCTGTATATAAGAGGAATAAAATTCTATTTTGAGTTTGAGAAGTCAAGAGGTAAAATTTTGGATATTATTATGATATTATTGATATTCCTTTACTCTTAATTTTAAAAAGCTTAGTGTTATGTCCTTTTACCCCATAATAAGTTTATCTAATACAAGTTTGAATTAATTGGACAAATATTGGATGTTTCAATTCTTTTTGGGGGAATGATGAGGAAAAATAGTGAATGATGTGTAAAAATTGAGAAGGCATCCACAACTTTGATCCCCAAACAGACGACTGTAACTATTTAAATCACCATAACTGACACCCACACCAATATCCATGAGTTCGAATCAACACTTAAA